ATACAGCTAAAATATCAGGTGCCATGGAATTCCCGGAGAACCATGACATGAGTGTTGCTTTTCTTTCCCTCCTGTAATCAAATTTATCTACATTTGTGAGCAAACATCTGCATGAAGTAGTTAGTGGTTCTTTCTTTTCTTCTTTGGATCTGGTTTTGCATCTTAAACAGGCCCATAGCTCAGCCAGCTTGGACAGAGTCTGTGGCTGTGTGGAAACCCTTTCATGTCTGGAATATCTGTAACACCCAAGCACAGCCTGGATAGCACCCCAGGTTTGTAAGTGTTGCAGAACAGAGCAGAGCATTTCCAACCTCTTACTGCTCTTGTTTAACAAAGTCAGTTCTTAGGCTTGGACTTGCCATGTGGGGCAGGTTCCTGCAAACGGTAGGGCTTGCTCAGGCCAGATGTGGCAAAGTGCTCCGTCTTGCAGCCTCTCCAGACTTGCACTTTGTAACCCAACAGAATGAAAATCTTGTCCTTTCTTTTGCTGTAATATCAAAACAAGCTGTTTTGGGGATTGATGTTTTAGCTGAAAATGTGATTTTTCAGGAGCTTTTTTTTTAATTACTATTTTTGTCTGATCGAATAGGAAAGTTCCCTTGATATTGGGTTATTATCACAGACCAAAGGAGCAAGGAAGAGCTTTTTTTTTTTTTTTTTCCCTCCTTTCTTTCTTCTTCCCTCCAGCCACACTTGGCCCTGAGAAGAATGCTTTTGATCATCTCCAAGATCCTGCAGGAATGAGTGGGATAGGGGAGGCAAGTGTAGCCCACGTAGCTTAAGGCAGCAGTTGCTGCTGGCTCTGCTTCAAAAGAAGCATTCTGTGGACGAGTAACACTCCCGATAAAGAAAAAGCATTGCAAAAAGTACTGTAAATAGTATCCTACTTAGCTTTCAAGTTGGTGCCTTTGTTCTCAAAAATGGTAGCAATGGTTTATGCCTGTAAGGACTGCAGAACACGGTCTGGTTGCCTCCTCCTCCTTCGTTGCTCACTGCTGAGGAAGCCTTTGAGGTTGAACCTTCCCGTGCTTAGTTTCTGCCAAAAGTGAATTTTTAATTTTGCTGGAAAGCTCTAGGTGTTTTAAGCAGAGGAGAGTGAAAATAAACACTTTCTCTCTATTAAAACCGATACAATAAAGTGGGGTTTTTTGATTTGTTTTTTTTTTTTAAATAGCTGTACAGCTTGAGCAACTGAATTAGAAAAACTTGAGAGTAGCTGTGACTGCAGAGCAGTCCTTTTCCTGCCTGAAGTTGGTATCCTGCATGTGTGGAGAGTTTCTCTTGTTCAAAGTGCCATTTTGAATGGAATGGTGGAAAATGAGGATAGGCTAAAATGCCAGATCCAAGAAGTTCCCCAGCATAGTGCGTGGGGGTTTTCTTTGGGACATAGGTGAAAGAGGTTGCAGGAGAGGGCTTTAACTTCCAGGTTTCAGGAATTAACTTCTGTGTGTTCTCCAGCTGTCAGGGCTCCCAATCTAGGTAGAGCTGGGGACTCTACAAGTTAGGGACTTGAAGTCTGTTCTGTAGTTGAGGGATTTTAAAAAAACGGCTCCCCTGTAGATATCAGATGTCATGTTGAGGTCTGGTACAGCCTGAGTGGCCGATGCTTTCCTCAGAAGAGAAGGCGACCTCAAGAAGCAGTGGACGGTGGAGATTTCTTCTCTGTTGTTGCGTAGTGTGGTGTTGGTGGTGCAGGTTCTCCTGGTTTGTTATTGGGTTTGATTTTTTTTTAACCTTATTTTTGCTCATTTGTTTCTTTTAATTCTTTCATGTAGCTCAGGCTTTGAGGAACAGAAGGAAACTAATAAACTGTTTGTCTTGAGCCAGATAGTGCAACTTATTATCACTTTGACTTTTCATCTATTATTTTTCTTCCCAAAGGGTAGCGTTTTCTTAAAACAGATACCACAGTGTCACAGAATGGGGTTCCTCCTCTCAGCTACAGTGCCAGGCCCTTTACAAGCCTGGATCAAAAAGACTTGTTTCATTAAATCTATAGTGTCCCTCTGTCTTTTGGTCTCTGTGTGCATGTTTTTTTTTTTTTTTTTGCTCTGTTGCTCGTGTGTGGTGCTCTCCCATATTGAATTCACAGTGCTAGTGTTCAGCAGCTTGAATGTTTGAGCTTCCCTGTTGTTTGAGAAAGGAACATTTGCAGGAAAGATGACCCTCAATCAATGGGAGAAAGCAGCTGCTTCCTGTGCGTCACCTTCTCAGTGTTCACAAAGCACGTGTTGGAAGCAGGAGGGAAGCTTATATTAGTGTCATAAGCAGGGCTGCCTTTAAAAAGAGTGTAAACATTGTTGGAAGTATCAGCTGATGCTTGAAACACTTGTTTTGTTGCTGAGAGTTGCCACCCATCAAATCTGCGTTTCCATTCAGTGCCCCAGAAGCAATGAGAGTTCTGGACGGTAGTTTACATATACTGCAAGGAGACTGTCTGTAACTGTTTCCCTGCCAGCGTTTGCTTCGGTGAGCGTTTGCAATCCGTAAGGATTGCAGCGCCCCGGTGGCGTGCGGCTGCCTGGATGCCGGAGGGAGCACAGGACTCCGAGCTGCCCCGGCTGCGGTGCTGCTGCCCAGCGGGGCACAAACGTGTGGCTAAACACAGGGAATCTCTGGGAAACGGGGTCTGTGCGGCCTGCAGCTTGGCTGCCGCTGTCTGGTCTGCTCCCCTTGCTAGTTCTCCCTGCTACTGTCACTTGCATCTGTTGCCCGTTACTGCACGATGCCCTCTAACAAAGAGGAAAACGGGAACTTGCTCTCCAGAGTTGATGCTCTGCTGCACTGCACAGATGGGGCGTGAGTGAAATTGCCCCCTGCGAGCAGCGATCCCAGCAGCTTGTGCTGGTCGTGTTGCATCCTTGTGGTTTTGCTGTGTTGCCGTGGCCAGTGCTTTGCTGCTGTTTCCAGCTGAGAAGGTTAGGGCTTGACTCTGTAAATTTGGGGATTTGGGGAAGTAACCATGTTTCCAAAAGAGTAAAGCTGGCCTCTGGAGGGTGTCTTGTGATATTGTTCCTGTGCCGTCAGGATCTTTCACTTGCCTTTCCAAACTAGTGCAGTCCTTTCCATGTAGTGGTTGCCTGGTGTTCTGTTTGCCAGCCCCTGCCTTAAAGTCCTGCCATGCTGCTTTGCATCGAGGGCAGCACAGAGGTGTGGGTGCCACGTGGACGGCTGACCAGCCCCGGGGGACCCTTGGATCAGGGCAAGGCTGTCCCAGCAGGGCAGCTCGCCTGGGAACAGCCCCCGGGCTGCTGGGTGCATGGAGCTGTCACTCCTGCCAACATCCCTAAATCCGTGTGGGCACGAACAGACAGGCCTGGATGCAGTTGTGTTAAATGGTCCAGGCCAGCAGCTGCATAGAATTTGGAAGCTCTCTTCTCTTTACATATTGTATATGTGTGTAATCTATGTCAATTATGTTGTGGGGCTAATGAGAGCAAGTTCAGGGGTACTTTCACTTGGCTGTAGGTAGTTCTCTTCTGCCTGCAGGGTTTGGTTACAGCAGAATGATTTAAGTTTCATCAGGTGGAGCTATGAGGGAGCATCAAAATCCTTCCAGCAAGTGATACTGAAAAAGAGAACAGAATTGCATTTCTCTCCAGTAGGACTTTGACAGTAATTTAAGGGGCACAAAGTGCTAAGTTTCAGCAGTAAATACAACATGAACCGTGTCCACCTGAAACAGACACCAGTAGCCAGGAAGTTATTTACTTGGGTATTTAACTCCTTACAGTGAAGCATTTTGCACATGCTTGGTGTATAAGTGACATGTTTTACTACTGCTATCTGTGTTTTCCAGCGTATTTGAAAAGGATCCCAGTGCAGTTGATTCCGCTGTGAGTTCCAGCCATCGGACCAGAAATCTGCTGGAGTTCTCAGCCAGCCAGGAGTCCAGCACAGCTCATAAAATGCCTGGGGGCATAATTCCTGAGAAGACTAACATGTGAGATGCCTATCTTTAATGTTTTGTAAGGGTCAGAGGACAGTGGTCCTTTCGATCTCCCTGTCCTTCCATTTGTTTTTTGGCCAGGATCATTATTTTTTTTACGGAGCAACTGAACTTACAATCAGTGTTTTGGAAGTTGATCTGTTTTATTTTTTAGTTACTGGAGTCACATGAGCTATTGATAAATAAGCACAATATATACTTTTTGTATGAGTTGAGACCTCCTGTCTGCCTGGCATCCTCTTCACACGTTCCCTCAAGCAAAGACAGCTGCTGGGTCAGGACTTGTCTGAAATAGGCCCAGGAAAGGGGTCCTCTTTACCGTGCAACCAGGCGTTAAAACTGAGCTTTCTTGGAGAATGGAAGACTTGAGTTTAAGTCTCTCATCTTTCTAGTGGGATTTGAACCTCAGGCTGTCATTCCTTAGGCAAGTTCTTTATCAGGTGTCCTACAGCAAGGTTGGCTCTCTCCTGGTGTGATTGTTTTGTATTTCACTGATATAATGGTTCTTGGGGGAGAGTGATGATGAGTCTCATTGGAAGAGTAAGTTCTTTCTCTTCCAGAAGTGGAGATATTTGAATTCAGGTCTTCCAAAGCCCAGGTGAGCAGTCTTAGTGAAATCTTGCTGACTAAGACCACCGGGTGCTAGAAAAACAGCGATTCACCTGTTTAAAAACCCCAGTAGAAGTAGCTGCAAATTTGTGGGTTTGTCTAGGGTGTTACTTATTCTTTGGGTTTGGTCAAAGAGTAATAAGGGATTTCTTGTTATCTTTTTTCACAGGTTCGACCGCTCGGTCTCCGATAACAAAGCACTAATGGTCGTATCAGAAGAACCACTACTGTATGTTTCCCCACCACCCCCTCCCTGTAAGCCCTTCGTCAACCGCACAGAGTCGTTGAGGTGAGCAAGCACCCTCTTGTGAGCATGCAAACTTTGATCTGCAGTTTATCTGGAGTTTACACGTAATCTAATCCAGTGTGTGTTGGGTGGGTGCTGCTGGACACACGGCTCTGGAGAATGGCCTTATCCATCCATAGTATTTCATCGTGCAGTATGTGCCCGGTGCCTCTGTAAGTATTTGTGCTGTCCAACATCTCTTACTGGGGAAAGGGGAGGATTGCTTGATCTGGAGAAACTGGCCAAACTGCTACTCTAGTTTTTCATAGGAGACACTCGAGATGGCCACATCAAAATAGCCCACAAGCGTTTGATTTGACTGCTCTCTTTTCAGGTTGGATTAACTCATGGATTGTAGGCCTAGCTGTTCAACTGAAAGTGCATTATTAAGCTAGTTCAATACTGGCTGTGAATGCTATTGACCTGTAGATCATTGAACTTGCGTGCATTTCCATTTGAGTTTGTCAGATGTGTGAATTAAATACGCTTAACCTTGTAACTTTTTTCATAACTCAAAAAATAAATCACTTCATATGTGGAAATTGTCATATGCAAATCCAGCCTGGGTAAAGGTGTGTTGCACATGAAATATATTGATGGTTGCTCTAGCTTCCAAGCAGAAGTTCAGGCAGACTTGTCTGATGCCACCCTGTCTGCTTTATGCTATTAGAAAAGATTTAACTCCACCTTTTCTAAAGATATGAGTACATCAGTCAGCCTGGTTCCATTTTTTTTTAATCTAAAATGTATTTTCATTACTTTACTCTTTTAACCATTATGCAGTGTTGAAGTAATAGCCTTTTCTTAGAAATTTTAGCATTGCTGTTCTTTGTGGTAAAAATCAAGTACTGTATCTGCTATATGTTGACATATCCATGATTCTGATAATTCATAAAGGAAATTATAGCTATAAAGTTTCTCATAAATTTAATCTTGAAACTACTTTTTTTTTTTCATCTAGGCTTTAAAATACGATATCACAAGGTAACAAGAGTACTAAGCTGGACAGAAAAACTGTTTTCTGAAATTAAATTTTATTCTGCCAGTGTTCCTAATCATCTTCTGTTAATGCTGTGTTTTTTATAGGTTGAACCATGAACTTCGGGGATGGGTTCATAGACATGAGGTAGAAAGGACAAGATCTAGAAGGCTGTCAAATAACCAACAGAAAGCACGGGTTGTGCAGGTAGGCAGGTTTATACTGGTGTGTCAGTAGCATGGCAAGTTAATTTCGTTTCCCTCTTGCTTCTCTGCTCTTGTTATTATAGACAAAAGTAGCCAACAACACCTGTAATTAAGTTTACCCAACACTCCCCCCTTCAGATTGGTGTTTTGGGTCATTTATGATGTTGCCAGAGTTCTTGCTGAGTCTGAAATTTTCCATGCCTGCACTCTGGTTCAAGATAAAAGCTTTTGTTTTTTTAACAGTCATCAAAATATGTTCACTTGTTTTCTAAAATGAAATTGATAGTTGCCTTATTATGAGTTCTCTGTAAGACTGTTTAAAGATAAACAATTGATTAAGGGAAAGAAATGTGACCAACAGCGCACTCATTAGGCTCGCTGTTAAGGGTCACAGCTGATTGTTTTTGTTGAAATATTTCTATTCCATTTTTTCAGCTTTTTTTGCTAAAAGGATACATTTTTACTTAAGAGTACACAATGAGAAGATTTGTGTTCATACTTTCCATTTTGTAAAATCCCTTTCAGCTATGTGTCACATTGATAGCAAGAATGAAATTAAGATTGAGTTTTTGCTGTGTTTCATTTGATTAAGCAATTCTAATGGCCTATGAAGGGATTGCATTTAGAAATGTGGTCAATGTCACATGCTTTGAGAGGATTTTATGAGTATTAAACATCGGATTCTGCTAAGTGTGGTCCAAAGGAAAATGGTAGAACGTCCAAGTAGGGCATGCTTAGGCTTTACGGTTCCAAGCTGAAATGTCATGTGGACATTGTATGTTGGCAGAGTTATGAAATGGTTATGACCTCAAAGGAATTGTACAAATTTAAGATGACTGATGGCAAATTTTGCATTCAGATTGACAACATGTGGAGCTACTGTGTATGGTCCTAGCCTCTCTTCACAAAGAAGAATGGGAGACTTCGCATTTGACTGAATTAAAACACCTTTTCTTTGGCTCCAGCTTGAGTGCTGGTGGCCATTTCAGTTATTCACGTTTTACCATTAAAAAAAATACACTCGTGTTCAGGGCACCAATTAACCCCTGCCCACCTAACATACTCTGTGCCGCAGACTTGCCTCAAGTGTTGCATAGTGCCAAACCAAGATCATGTGAATTGTTTTTCTTTAGTGTCATCTTTTTCTCCCTTTTTCAGAGCTCCCTCACTGAGAAGGCAGATTCCCAGCTAATGGCCATGCCTTATACAGAAACCAGCATTAGGTAAGGCAGAAAAACTTTTCTTTTTTTTTTTTTCCATTGCTTTCAACTTAATAACATTCTTTTTCATCTGTAGATGGTGAAAAATGAGTTTTCACCCTGTCAGAATTCTTAAGCCTGCTAGCTTAAGATGCTAGCTTACATTTATTGGCCTGACTTCTACCTCTGCAAGAAATACCCAGGAAATAATCTCTTCTTAAAGTTTCCAAGTACACTTAAAGGAACCTCTCTATCACAGCTCCACTTTTCTGTTTCTTTTCCTACCAATAGGTCTTAGGAGAATCTTTATGTCACTTTACAGTCCCCTCCTACACATATTTTCTAGGGAAAAAATAGGCACTGCAGGGCTATCTGGAGCAATATCAGCAGTTTATAAGAAGATTTTGAAGTGTCATGCACACAGTAAGAATAGGGTTTATCTCAGTAAGTAGAAGAGTGAAGGCATTATGCACCAAATACATTGTTTTGTATCATTACCTCTCATTTGTATGGTTTGTACCCATCTTCTGGTTTTCCCTGCTGGTTATTAGAACATAGTAACCTGGAAAAGAAAGTTGTCTTTTCCTGAATTTTCTGAGACTATGTTAAAGGATTTCTGCTTCAAAGTGGCAGAGGAAGCAGCGGAATGGAGTGTAGGAAGACTTTGAGAAAATGTTGCCACTGAAAGACAGACAGCTGTAGCCCTTCTTTCAATGTTCCAGTTTTGAAAGCAGGATCAGTCTGGGATGAAATAATAAGCTACAAGCAAATGTTCTGGAAACCAGGCTGCCAAATTCTAATGTATCTTAACTTAAAAGAAGGAAAAAAAAAATTTTTTTTGAGTTCCACAAGCAAACATAGGATGTCTGTTTTTAAGTGAAGACTGGCCCAACAGGCATATCGTCATGGCATAGTGCAGTTTAATATAAATGTCTACATTTCTCTTCAAATAATTTATCTGGATTATTAGAAACAGCCCACAACATCATGCAACTCTGCATGGAATAATCTACTGTGCTCAGAAAGAAGTCAGATTTCTTTTCAGATGGATGGTGTTTAAATGAGCAGAATCAGTGAGTCATGGCAGCTGCATGCTGTGACTGTCCTGAAGCTGTGAAGAACATAGAACAGATTTCCAGTTCTTCCCAGAGCCATCAGCTATTGGATGCACAGAATCACATAATAATTTAGGTTCCTCTGGAGATCTCTAGACCAACCTTCCACCCTAATGGGGCTACCTTCAAAGTCAGGTCAGATTGCTCAGGGAGTCAGTCCAGTTTTGAATATCCTCTGGGGAAGAAATATCACCATCTCTCTGGGCCCTTGTGCCAGGGCACTTTGAACTTGATATGGAGAAAGCCTAATTTATCACTCAGTGAGTGGCCAGATTCAGCACGAGTGTTTGTATATAAAATTTAATATGGTACTTTCCTGTAATTTCTGGTAATACATTAATATAACAACTGTTATAACTGTATGATTGTTTACACCACGTGTGCCTCCCTTCATTTCATGCAGCAGTCCCCAGTAGGTACCCTTAAATCCCTAAAGGTGAATCCACTGGTATTGGAATTTAGGACTAGTGTAGTACACTTGTAGTACCCTGGAACCAGGAGAGCTTTTACAAAGATGCAGAAGTGTCCAAGTGCTCTGGAACAATTTTCTCCCTGGGCTGGATATGGAGTTAGAAAAAGCTGTTTTTTCCAAGTCTAGCTGTAGCTCGTGTAGTGTGGGTGAGAAAAAGGAACTGTGGGACCAATTTCAGTTCTCAGGATGTGTTTTACTGAACAATACGTGGGTGTGCTGTCTTTTATCACAGAAATTTCAGTGTTTTGATGGGCCTACGTGTTTTTATGAATGAGTAATCGACCTCAGATTAGCTCAGATCTGTTTCCTGTGTGTGAAGAAGGCTGTAATCTGATTCTGCACTTGCATGATTCTGTTAATGAGGATGTATTGGAGGGGGCTGCCTCTTGTCAAGCACCTTGGATTTACGCTCCCAATCCTGTTAAAGGAACACCTGGCAGCTGCAGTCTTTCTCTTGCACTAGGACTGTATTAGCAGGAGGAGATGGGAAGATGATTGTCTACTACTACTCTTGCTCAAGAAAATCAATTAATAATAGATTTGTGCATTGTGTTGAGTGCATAGTATGTATATTTTAGAAACATCTTACCAAAATAATGTAGGTCCACTCCCACAGTTTAAAATCTGGGTGAACAGAACAGCTTGGGAGGAATAAACTGATCAAGAGATTTTGCCACAAATACTGCAAAGAGACACTGTGCTATTAAAGTGGGAAGGAATTAAAATAACTGGTTGAAAGTCTAGCTAATGTTTTGTTTAAGTACAGCTTTCCAGTGCGATTAAATGTTATTTTTGAGTAGGGTTGGGGAAGTATACTTCAGAGCAATATGGGCTGGGAATTTCTCACCTTTCCAAGATAAACAGTGGATAAGTATCATGATTGTATGACTTGCCAGTGTTTTTACTCAGAATACCTTGCCATGATTGAATGCCTTGCCAGTGTTTTTGCTTAGAATACTTTAGACAGAGTGTCTTTTCCTTGCATCTGATATTCCGCAGTTTCAAATTGTGAAAAATTCCCTTTGCAGTAATTGTGGCAAAAACTTTGATCGGTTGTTATGAATACCTTATTTCTGCTCCAATGTCTAAATTGAAAATCAAGACCCAGGTTGGGTTGCCATTTGAGAGTAAATGAAAAGCCCTGTTTGTACTGTACTTTGCACAGTTCAAGTGGTTTGTATCCTTAACAGTATTAGGAAAAAAAAAATCAAAAAAGATCATGACATTTCATTCTAAAACTTGCCAAAATCCATGTCAGAAATCCTGAGAAATTTCCAGGTATGTTGGGTGGACTTTAGTGTGTTTTTTGTTTGTTTGTTTTCTGTCGTCATTGTTTTTTGGTTTTGTTTGTTGAGTGAGCAAGCCAGGTTTTGCCTGCCTCAAAGCCATGAATAATTAAGCCTGGAATAGTTTCCTTTGGGCAAGATTTTCAAGACACTTTGTTTAAACTTCCAACAGATACCTCTATTTCTGATTGTGTTTTACTGAGTTAAAATGCTCTCATGTTCCTTGTGTCTTTTCAAATGTGTAAAGATTTGCTGCTCTTTTGACAAGCTGGTCTTTCAAGTCAGTGCTTCACTGAGGTAAATTCCTTGATCTAAAATCATTTCTCTCTCTCCATTTCAGCAGGCACTCAGGGAATGAGCTGCAAGTGTATTATGCTTCTCCAAGGAGCTACCAAGACTTTTTTGAAGCTATTCGCAGAAGGGAGGATACCTTCTACGTGGTGTCATTTCGTAGAGTAAGTGTAGTAGTTTGTCAGCACTGATTTGTTTTATGTCTCGGTAGGACTGTTTCTAACAATCAATATCTTTCCTTCTTTTGCAAAAGATGACCTAGTCAAGATTTAATCAAAATTTATTGCTTCATAGATGATGCTTCTGTATAACCTTTGCAGTAAAATGGCCAGGTGCTTTTAAGAAAGAAGAAGCAGATGGAGTAGATCGGTGATTTCAAGCTCTTTGAAACCTCTTGTATGCTCTAGCCAAAACTGTCCGAAAAAGCTCCCTCTTGAGATGAGTTCAGATGTGCTATTTCTAGGATGGAGTACACAGTGCATTTTTCAAAATATTTATGTGCTTGACTTAAACATATGTGACTGTGCATTAGTTTTGAAAATGGTCCATCATGGGCTTTGTATAACATGCCTGTTGCAGTTAAGAATGGAGGCAGAGCTAGGCAGATAACACAGAAGTGTGAAGGAGATAGGATGAAATTGCGTGAAAAATCTGGCATTGGAAATGGAATTGAAGAAACAGTATCTGGAGTTAAGAGACTGTGGAGGAATCGTCTCCCTTTCTGCATGGCTCCTGGAGTGACCTGGTAGTTTAGTTTTATAAGGTAACTGGTAGACTGTGTGCGAGTTTCTGATGAGGCTAGATGTTAGATGCTGTTATTGAAAGGTTAATACTGACTGCTGTAGCTAAATTGTTGTCAAATTGTCTGTCCTGAGGACTATGGGTAGGCAAAGCAGAAGGGCTAGGCCCTCAGATTGAATAGCTGCTTCTGAAACCTTCCCATAAAATCTTTAGAAGCCAACACAGGCTTCCTGCTCCTCTGTGGGGATTCCAGTTAGGAATTGCATTGTTCTTCTGGGCTTGTCACCCTGCTCGCTTTTCCAGATGTGCAATGTTTCTATTGCTGATTACACAGGCAAGGAAGGGATTGAGGAACACAGTGACCATTTGGAGAGAGCATTTGTACGTGGCCCAGCACAGGAAGCTTTAGAGAAGCGGAATCTAGCCGAGTGTTGTAAACATGCTGAAAGCTCTTGTCAAGTGCGTGTGAGTACGGAGACCCGGAGCTGTGGTTAAAGGCAATCAGGGGCATCTCTGTGTCTCCTTGTATGGTGGCAGTAAAACCAGTCAAATGGTCTGCTATAGTGTGAGTAAGTATCTGGTCAGAGCACTGAGGAACTGCTTCTGCAGAGTATGTGGCCAGCATGTACTTAACCCTGCAAAACACAGGGAAAAAGATCTGTCATGACTAAGGAGCAGGGGAAAGTGTCACAGCTTGTTTTGTGTCATCACTTGGATCCTGATAGCCCCTTTCAGAAGCTGATAAAACAACCTCGAAGGTGCTCAGAGAAGGGCACAGAAGCCCTGCAGGGAGCCAGGGGCACTTGGGCAAGTTAATGGGTGACACTGCAGTGCAGATGTTGGAAGCATCAGAAGTGGTACTGGCCCAGGGGGCTAAAAGCTCTCAAGATGTGGCAGTTGTCCCACTGTGTGCGCTCACTGGCATGCTGGGCTCTGTGACTGGGATTCCCTCTGCCCAGGAGCACGAGGCAGGTAGGAGCAGCTGGAAGGGCTTGGGGCAGGCTGGAAGGAAATGAGAAACACAGGGAAATATGCCCAGGGAAAGGAGCGTCTATGAGTCTCTCTATTATTGCCAGTGAATTTGCCTTGCTAATTTCTTCCTCTTATCAACTTCTCCCAGCTCTGGTTAGACATGTAAAAAATAACAAATGGGCCAAAGTGGCCTGGGTTTTTTTGTGTGGGTGTTTTTAATGCAATCAAGATGACTGGAAGGACATGCAGTGGAACTGACAGGCAACAGTTTTAAAAATACATGTTCTTATGGCCTTGTAGAGCTCTTTACCACGGCAGTATTAGAGCCAGAAGTTGAGTGGGGCTGAAGGGTTCAGGGTTTCGTAAGGAGAGCTGCCCCCTTGACAAACTCGTGCTGCCTTTGAGAGCAGGGCATGGGTTTCTGGGTTTGTGCAATACTCGCTGGGTCCTGACTCATGGCTTAAACACTTGAGCGTGGTAGCAGCTCAATACCCAGGACATTAACTGGTTATTTATTTAGGAGAAGTATAAAAATGTTGTTGTTAGGAATAATACTATTGTATGCAGAAATTATTTTTGCTAGCTCAACATAATATTGTTGTATCTTCCTCTAACACTTGATTTGCAGTTTTCTGTGTCCTGTGTTGTAGCCTTACAGGACTGTGTGCAGCAGGACATTTTTTCTGCTGTTTTGTGACCTGTAAATCGAGACAGATTTTTTTAATTATTATTTCTGGCTGTGCTGGGGTATGGCATAGGCTCATGCTGCAGGAGCTTTGTCAAGCTCAGCCTTGCATCTCCAGCACATTTGGAGCCAGGCAGGACCAGTAAAATCTGCTTTAAAACAGGAATTCCAAGTGCTTGGCACTTTCTGCACTGCAAGTCTGAGGAGTGTTGAAGCCAGGACAGCTGCAGGAATGAGAAACTGCCTGGGATCTGGTGTTGGAAATGAAGAAGGCAAAGAGTGGTCGAGACAGTGGTTGGTGGGTGGGAGAGTTTATTTCCTCCCTTTCCCAGACATCTTGATAAGCCCTTGGACAAGTATCCCAGACCTGATCTTGTCTTGCTAGGCCATATAGATATGTGTATATCAAATTAGTGATGGAAAGAGTAGGTAAAAAGAAAATTATTATGTTAAAGAAGATATTTAAGAAGCCACAGAAATCTCCCCGCAGGAATTGCCGTATGCACGTATATAAGTTTAGCGCATCCCTGCTTGGTCTGATCTTAGTCATCCTTTTTAATATGTGAAATGCATGCCTTTAGAAAAAGTTCAGGCAAAATAAAAATAGTGATGCTCTTGTTAGGATTAGAGGTTTATGTAGAGTAGAAGGATGAGGTTAGTTTCCAGTACTGGAATTACTGGATTGTGTCACAGGGCTGGAATTTCGTTATTAAATGCTTGGCGTGTTCTGCTGTTCTTCCAGCTAGCAACACAAATAGAGCCCGCACCAGGCTCTGTGTATCTAGATGATGAGCAGGAGGGAGTGGAGCATTATAGAAGTTTGATATGTATAGAAGAGGTGACAAACATTTTTCCTAGAAGATGAGAGCACAGAGCAGAGTGACGTTTGCCTCGTTCTTCACTTCGTGCCGTTGCTCTCGTGCACCTGCGTGTTCTAGGACATGGGCGCTGTTCACCGGGTAGGCCCCACCACGTGAATGGCCTGGAAGTTGTCAGCTTTCCTGGGAGTTTACAGAGCTGTCCTTGGGTATCAGAATGTGCCTCATGGCACTGAGCTCCTATGGCTTGCCTCTGATCTCTTACACGAAAAGATTTGAGGATTTTTAAAAAAAAAAAAAAAACTATCTGGGAAGTTGATTTGGTAGCAAACAGTTGGCCTTTCTTTTCCATGAAGGAAATGTTCTCAAATCAGGCAGTTTTATGCATCATGTCATTCATTATTTTAGAGGACAAACCTTAGCTCTACCCCGAGGCATTTCCAAGTGAATTGCTGGGATTCATTCCTGAGCCCACAAGAAAGGGCTCCTGCACGCTCTGAGGGGTGCCAGCAGCGGGGCCTCCGCCTGGGAAATGCCCTTTCACCTTCTCCTGAGAAACGTTAATCTCATTTTCTCTTGAGCAGGATCCCCCTTTCACTGCAGATTAGAAGCTGAGGGAAGGCAGTGGTTTCCGCTTTCGTGGTGAGGGGCATTTCACTCATGGGCCCGCTCGCTTGTCGCGGGTAGGAAACTAGATGTGCAGGTCGCAGTTTTGATGCTCCTCTCCAGATGTTTCCATCCAGCTCTCCCAAGCACTTAATAAGCTGTTAACAGCCACATTTCAGAGGACTGTAGGTATAGGTAAGAGTCCTGAGGAGTGGATGGTTCTGGTTTTTGCAATCCTGTTTTGGGTGAGAGGTTGGGGTGCTGACCTCCAGAGATACCTTCCACCTGATGTTTCCCAGACCCTCCTTCCTCATCCTCCTGCTCCTTGTTCAGTGTCACATAACCCAGCATCTCTCCTAGGTCCCTGTGGCAAATTGTAGTTCTGGTGCAATTTTTATGTGTTTTCTGCGTGTTCTCACCAGCTAAGTCCTGAATTCCTTGGATTTTCTATAAAGCAGCATTTGCTAGGGCTGCCAGGGCCTTTCTCCTGCGCAGCAGGACTCGGGCAGCGCTTCCGAAGGCCTAAAGGGATCCAAGCTCACACACGCCGCGTCAGTCTCTGGTGATGCTTGGCACCTCTAAGCCCCAATTTCTCATGAGCTCATCAGCTTTATTTTCTGAGAGGAAAATGAGAAAGAAAGACTTGGATCAACGAAGTCCATAGAAGAAAATAGGGCTTTCACTTTGGGAGTCTACAGAGATTAATTTTCTGATGTTGCCAGGGGAGTCTGTAATGCCCTTTTCTAACAACCAGACATACATAACTGAGCAGAGAATTCTTGAGCCAAGGCAGTGTTGTTTCCTAGCACTGCCAGGCCTGCCGGCAGGACTTGTCACCACCAATTTCTGGAGATGTTAGCTTGTCTTTTTTTATTTTTTTCTCCTCTCTCTCTCTCTCTCTCTTTTTTTAACCTAATTTTAGGCAGCCCCACTCTTCCCAGCTTTCACTTAGCATTGCAGGAGTCGACACCTGGCAGTGTCACCAAACGCACACTCTCAGGAGCATATATATTTGCCTGGGGGACGCATGCTGTCCCCCAAAGCCGCAGTGCTCAGGAGCTCTGTATTTCCAACATCCTTCCAAGTCGAGCTGTGTCGGGTTGGCTTTGGGAGCACATCCAGAGCTGAAGGACGGATGCAGTGAGTACTGCAAAACGAGCAGCCGTGCTCCTCCGAGGAGGATGCGCTAGTCTGAGCTCCACAGCCAGCTCGGCCAGGGGTGAGTGGCACAGAGATGGAGATCTCTGCTACAGCGACTTGTAGAAATGCCTGGAAATGCTGCAACCAGCAGAGAAACTGGGGTGGAGAACCGCGGTCCCGAATTGTGTTACGAGTTCCTCCC